AGTACAACAAGGGTCTGGGCAGGAGAAAGACTTGCCCCATGTCCTTCCTTCAAAGGTTTTTTTTTGTTTGTATTGAAAGGACTGAAGGTTGCCATTCATTTCGGCCATTTTAACTTGGTCCAATATTTTACAAGCCCTTCAGAGAGGACCTTTTGCTTCCTTTTCCTGTGGTTTGGCCCGGGCCGAGCTGTCAGGAGAGGGGAACAGCCAAACCCAAATGTAGATGCTCAACTTGGCAGGCTCTCCGTGGAGTGTCCTGACCAGACAAAAGCAGGGAGCGAAATACAGCCAATTTATTTATATTCGCTGTGGTTTTGCGTGTTACGTCCTAGACTTCCAGACCCTGGGTGGATATTCCATCTGAGGATGGAGATGGATGGATGGCGTTCCATTTGACATACATAAAAACTATAACTCCAAACCAAACAAACTATACGGGATTAATGTCACATCCGTACTGTATGTGTTAATCAAGTGTGAGGTTTTGATGTGCGGTCCCTTCCGCGTTTTTGTTTTTTTGTTTTTTAAATCATATCCAAAGTCTGTCAGGCTATGATAGAAGAGAAACGGACCCACTTTTATGACTTGACATTTTGTGTGATTTTTTTTTTTTTTGTGTCAAGGCAGCGGCAGAATACGCACGCAATTTGAGTGTCGCCAGAATCACAATGTTTGAGCGCCTTTCCTTGGGGGATGACCTCACCACTGTCAGAACGAGGTATGGAACCAATTTAAGGGAGCTCCCCCGGAATCACTCGTGTGTTTCGCTCTGTCAAAACTAAGACATTTGGAGCCACATTCACTCTGCTGCATGGTCACCCTCTCTTATGGTTGATACAACTTAAGCAGGGTATGGATTTTAGGAATCCCAAAAAAAAAAAAAAAAAAAAACTGACTCACATCCATGTACTGTTGCTGCGTGGGCGAGCTCATAAATGAGTCAACCAAAGATATTTGGATATAGGAGGGTTTGGGGGATGCATATGGTCATGCGTACACGCACGCACAGGCACAAGCACACGCACACAGCGGCTGTGGCCAGCGAGACCTCTCTGGTCAGGAGTCGCTGCCAAAAGCAAGCCGAACAGTGGAACACTGGGAGTCTTGTGCCTGATTTTGGAGACTCTTGTCTCTCTCCCGACCTTGCTTCAAAATATACTGCGGCTTCAGGGAACAGCACTCTCAGCAGTAGGGAGGCCAGGCATGGAAAATTTAGACGCAACACGAAAGATGTCGGCGAAGGGGAGGGTGGGAGTAAAAAAAAAAAAAAAGGTGGGCTGAATTCATTCTCATGCTCATTCACATCTGTGGCCATGAGCCTTTTCTTAATGGCTTTAGCACATTAACTGTAAAAAGGGAATGAGGCGAAACTGCACCGCGGCAGTCGGTGAGGATAACGGGGAGCACAAAGTTATATGAATCATTTTTTAAATGGACTGTTGAATCCAAGGTTGACTTTTGTCAGCAGGGAAGATTTAAACGCATCTCGTAGTTGTCGATGATACCAAAAGTGCCAATACAGCGGTTGTACAAGTGACACGGCGTCTGATGTCTCATAATTACACCTTGTCTTGCTAATAGCGAGTGTTACGGCTGCACTACCCTGTAATCTCTCACTTTTCACGTGTTGGTAATGACTAAGAAATATCAAACTGGCCTAGAAATGTTCACTCCGCACCTAAGCGCGCGACAAGTTGCGAGAAATATTGTCAAATCAAATTAGATAGAACACAAGAGCTTGTGCCTCCGCAAAGATCAATACACGGCTTGGATTGAGCCATATGTACCACCCAATTATATTTGTGTAAAACCGCATTGAGTCGTGCGGAGCATTTCAAATATTTTTATTGCATTGTTTTGCCTCATGGAAACAACGCATCTATGAGTGGAGGCGGGGCTTATGCTTTAGGTTATTTGCCTGCAGCTGGTCTTTCCGGCTCAAAATGAGGGAGGGATAACTGAAAAATGGCAAGGTGTGTTGTCAGGCACATTTTTTATATACTGTGCTTGAAAAAAAAATGCCCTTGCGAAATGCTGCAATCTTTGTTCTCTCAAGACGGTGCTTCAAAACAAACTTATAAGCAGCTACATATAAGGTATAGTTCAAGCGCTGTCTGAGACTCATCAAAGCCAAATGCCTTTTTTTTTTTTTTTTTTAAACGGCCACAGTAAAAGGCCTCTCTTTCCTTTCCTCATTTTATGTGCTCCAACAAAGGCCAAACAGGAAACCGAGCATATCTAGGATGTTCGATGGTGACTCTGTGGTGTGCAAATCTCAAATCTCTGATATTGAAATGGTTGCACAAACGGGTCACCTGCAACGACAAACTCTCTCAGTAACAGCTAGACGCTTATGACAAGACTTCTTAAATTCAATGTCAACTCTACTGCAGTTTTCCAAAGAGTAAAAGGCTTGAATTGTGTTTAGATGATGAGCAAACAATGCCCCGATTCAAAATGCTACAATATGCAGTTGGGCACTTAAACCATCAGAGTAGAAGGGCGCAGGCGGTGAGCCATGAACTTTTTTCGGTGCCTATGGCACACCATTTTGTGGGGGTAGTGACGCATTTGCGCATGCCGAGACTAATCGAGACTCCACATGCATGCAATTTTTCAGGATTCCGATGAAAATAAAGCTTTTAGCTTTTTAATTTTGGCTTTTTCAGCCTCTAAAAAGCAATGCCCATGCACAAGACCACAGGCTGAATTCCTGTCCATTCCTGGAAAATAAAAAAAACTTCCAGATCTGAAATGTCATCTGAGTGACTCAACAAAAACGGCTCGACTATTTCACTACATCATGTTGGGTGCTCTCCCAATTTCGTCCTGTAGTCCAGTTAAAACTGATCATCTCCTTCCAAGAAATTCTCGATGTTCATACGAGCAATTCCGAAGTGTCGCTTCATAACTTGATTCGTGCATACTGTCAATTTCACGCAGGCTCAAATGGAGGAAGAAAAGCTCAAAGGTGGTGGCATCTCCCCCTGCGCACGAATGCGTCGCCATGTACCGAAACTGTGGTCGTGTGGTCTCTCGCACCGACGAATCATGCTCGACGCGTCTTCATTCTGTTTACAAATGCTTCCGGCTGTTATTGAAAACACTGCCACTGTGAAGTGAAGCGTTGGATTCGCAAGGAAATTCCAAACATGTTCCAAACCGTTTGGACAAACCTGCAGCTAATAAACTGGTACGCATGATCTAAAAGCAAATGTAGAAAAGCAAGAACCGCCTCGCGTCAGAGGTGAAACAACTTCCACTAAAAACCGTAAACTAAATAGAGCTTGGACGTATACTGTCCATACTGTCCTGTATATGGTTACCGCACATTTTGTTCTTCCCCTTCGACTTCGGCGATGCCCAAGGACGTGAAACCCGACATGTTTTGTCTGCTAGCGCCCTCCGTTCACACCTCACCACGCCTCGATACACCTCGGCACACTTCATCACAGAATGACTTACGATGCACGGGCACGCCTGTGGGCGACAAGAGAAATTATGAGGGAAATTCACCTACGCCAAATCGGGCCCACGTTTTGAGTTTGGGGGCATGGGGGCGGGGGGGTTAAGGTGGATGGTGGTTGACAGAGGGGAGGGAGCGAGTGCTGAAGGGAAGGGAGGAAGAGAGGCAGGGTGTGGGAAGGAGGAAGGAGGGGAGGGGTTGCTTCCTGTCGCCATTCCGGCCTGCCCACATAGACAGACGGAGAAAGAGAGTGTATCTGAGGCTGACTGCAAGCCACATGACATTCTCTCTGGGTCCTTCGCTCGCCTCTGCGCCGAGTGATGTGCTCCCTCCCCTCCTTCCCGTTCCTCCCGCCTTCCCTCCCACCCTCCCGCCCTTCAAAGCTTTGACATGTCATCTCCCACCACAAAAACAGAGGTGGGAAGACTCGCTGGCGCTACCGCTGCCTCAGGGTGTCTGGCACTAAAGCTGCCTGCTAATACAGCGAGGGAGAGGAGGAGGAGGAGGAGGAGGATTGAGGAGACAGAGAGGATGCCGGAAGGAGGGATAGAGAAGACAGAAGAGAAAAATTGAAAAAGAAAAGGATCGGCGGGCAGGACGGTGCGCACTGAAGGAGACTCATAAAAAGCCGGGTGTCAGAAGAGCTGTTCGAAAGATGGAGGGCTTTGAGATGCGTCTGTTCTTTAATGCGACACTGCTGCAACCGCACTGTTGCCTCATGAGTCACACGCACACACAGACACACACACACTTGCAGCAGCTGGTTAGAAAGGGGGCACTCCAAAGTTTGGGAGAAACCTTCAGGCTGCACAACCGCTCTCTCCAGAGAACCGCAAAAACACAAAAGATACCCAGAAAGGTTCAACACATGAAATGAATTGTATCCAGCTAAATGAAAAATTTCGGCAAGCCGCAATCCTATAATTGAACATTGAGTGTATTTTCTGATTCTAATGTGATTTTTTTTCCCCCTAAGACCAGCAAAGGAGTATCTCTACCAACTTTAAACACACCCTGGACAGCCACTGCTTTTGAATAAATGATTCCAGGCCAAATGTTTGCTGCTCGGATGCCACAAAATTTGCAGATCGACTTAAGGAGCAATTACGCACTTGGCTTTGGAGCCTCTGAGGCTTTGGAGGATGAATTGGTGAGTGGCTCCTGGACAAAGTAAGCACATCTGACCAAAGTGGGCCTTTCCCATCAGCTGAGAGTGTCAAGGAAGCCACAAGACACATACACACAACAACTCTGATAACAGGGCCAAATTCGGGGCCTTGAGCTCTGCAACAATTGGACCCACAACTGAATGGAAGACATTGATGCAGCGAATGCAAAAACAGCTACAAATAATAGTATTCCCTTGTGCGGGTTATGGCTGACTGCTGCTTGTCCTTTTGCTATTGCAACTCTTGAGGTACTTTTCATCTTTGATAACCCCCCCCCCCAAAAAAAACGTTTTTCTCAAAAACCATGACATTCAGTACATTTGAAATTTGAAAAGCTCACAATTATTGCCCCCCCCCCCCAAAAGCTCAACTGTGACATTGCAAAACAAACTGAAGCAGGGCTTGTAGCTCGCAGTGACGGACTGCGAACGAGTGACATTTCAATCGAGCACGATGCCAAAGCAGTAGTGGAACACGGAGGAAGTATGAAGAATCATTTCACTGGGTATGACCACACAGTCACAAGTCGACACACTGTGATTTACTTTCAGTCAGCTGCTTTTCGGGCCTCTGAGGGCGATCTGTTTGCTCATGATGTCGCCCCCAAAAAGCGTGACTGCTGATGTCTGCGCCGGCGTCGCCGACAACATCGCGTCCCCTTCGGCCTTTGGTCAAGGAAGTCAAAAAGGCGCTTCCATCACGGGGAATGCGTAGCCTGTCTGAGACCAGTTGGAAGTGCCCAGTCAAAGCCAAACACGCAAAAGCAGTATTTCACTCAAAAGAGAACATTGATGAGCCATTTTTTTTCTTCTTCTCAAGAGAGGAAAAACCACAGGAAAGTGCCACAGGGCACCAAACGAGAAAAACAACTGAGGGAACCAGAGTTGGTGGCACTCCGACAACAGAGGGAAGACTGCCATGATTTACGACATCATGTCAGCGAGGCTGTACCGCCCACCATTGTATGGATGGAGTCTTCATCGCATCATGTCTGCTCTAGTTTGGCGTGCCAAACTTCCAACATTAAACCGGTTAGTCATCTGTTGCAAACTTTTGCCTAAGATTTAATTCAAGCCATGGAGGAAAGTCATCATTGATATTTGTTCCTTTCTATTTCGTCCAAAGTTTGTTTTTTCCATTTGACGTCGGAAAAACCGACCTGAGGATGATCAATCATATCTTTAAATTTGAAAACAAAATTTTGAATTGTGACACCACACTGTCTGGAATCTCTTGTCCTCGAGTCTCTTTTGTCATTTTAATAAATGAATTATGGAGCGGGTGGAAATGTGGTTTTGTGATATTCTAGATATTATGGAATATTTATCCTGCATTTATTGAATGGACGATTGGCAAACAGCACTGCAATGAATCAAAGAAAAAATATGGGCCAGTTATTTAGAAAGATATCATGTACATAACTTACAAACATGTCATTAAAGTACTGGATGAAATAATTTGATTCCCCTCAAAAAAAAAAAAAAAAGGGCTCATAGCGTGTGTGGGACAACACTGCCACCTACTGGTGTTGATGTTTGTTGTTTTCAGTTGCAAACCTCTTTTTTTCCTTTTGGAAATTTTCTTAAGCAAATCATCTAACAATTTGTATTAGACTTAAAATATTTGATATAAGGACAAAATGGTAGATAAGTTTGAACCTTGAAATGGTCCAAATTACATTCAGAAGAAGAAATATAAGTTTGAACCCGTGCTGTAAGTTTGCTCACTCAAATGCTACCGGTGAGAATATCGAGTAGTAATGAGACTGTAGCTGATTACCAGGTTTGCAAACTGCTCAGAATGGATTTTGGCCCACAAGAATTCTCTAACCGCATCAAGTTTCTTGGCTGCCACTTGGAAACGGAACCTTCTCCTTCCTGGGGTTGAGGTCTGGACCTTGACATGCTTCTTCTTGAAGCGCTCCTCTCTGGCACTATGCTCGGTCATGCCTGAAGACCCATTCACGACCCGTCAGCTGACGAAAGGCGGTTAACATCCCAAATCTCACAGTACGCGGCTACGTTCACTCAAATCATCTCAACTTTGGTTTTTGTCAAACATCTCCCCCTGCTGGCATCTGCATAGACATACCTGAGGTCATTGCATGACTTATAATCAGTTTTATGAGGGGGGAGAGACTGCAAGTAAAGTAAAAGTCTAGCGCGTAGCAAACTGAACGCGACAGCAGCTAGTCATAAGATTGACAGGAAGCATTTATGTTTCATATTACTTTCAACCACAGACAAATTATGAGTTGATACGCTGACAATTTCCCCAGCCCGAGGGATGACAATCGCAGTTGTTCAGTAGGCTGCATTTGGAAGAATTGGCAACATTATTTCAGCGCACAAAGTCATAAACACGACTGCATTGAAAGTATCCGCAGGAGGTGTTGACCACAAGTAATAAATCAAAGATTAAAAAAAAAAAGGATAAAATCCCATTAGTGGCTTCAAATATGTGCTTTTTTATAATCATCTAATCTCTCCGACGCACTTGAGCCCAGTGTGAGAACAAATGTTTGTGATGCTGCCACAGCGTATGGAATGTAACACGTTGGATTGCGTCTCTGCCTAAATAACATTCGGACTAGCTCGGCCTACGGTTGTGTCAGTATCGTCACCTCGGAGAGATCACAACGGTGCGAGATGAAGATGAATACATTGAATTGACCGGCTCAACAGTGTCGCATGGAAATGCGGTGCTGTCATCACGAGCGGTCTTTGAGACGCAACCATTTGATCTGCAAAAACAGGCAGAATTTGCATTTGAAGCACATTTCTTTTGATTCATCGCTGCAGGTTAAACTGTGCCCTACGCCGCTCGGTCACGAGGGGCAATGCAGCTGTAACGGCCTTTTAGCCTGTAATTGCTTCGGCTTTTCTAGTTTCTCAAAGCACCTGCGCTCGGATGAAACCGAGAGGGGCGGGGTCTGGAGGCATGGGGTATTGACAGAGGTTTAAAAGGCAGTCGGAGACCCAGATGAGGGCAATAAAGAGGGAATAATTCACGTACCACATTTTCAAACTAAGCCGTTCAGCGCAAAAGAGGAGAAATGGATAAATGGAGGCTTGTGTTTGTTTTTGTGACTTTCTGCACATTGGTGGAAATCTATGAGGGGGCGTCTCGCGACGAGGAAGAGCGACAGCCGTTAGCGCATCACATGCAGGTGGGTTTGTGTTTGTGCTAGATTAAGAGTGTTTTACACTGATTTTTTTTCTTTTTTTTTTGCTGGGGTGTAGGGCGAAGCTAAATCAACAGAGGGGGCGCTGCTCTGGCCCATTGCAACCCTTGTGAAAAGATCTAAAGCCTTGCAGTTCTATGGACTCATGGGGAAACGCTCGGGTGACACTTCACATCCCGAAAAAGTGTGCCCGCACCAAGTATTTAGGCATGTCATCTTTCACTTTTGTTGTTGTAATCAAGATACACAGTACTGCAGCAACCCTTGCATAAATATGTGACTAATTGTCCAATTACTGATCAAGGAGTTTAATATTTCGGGACCACCTTGCCCAGAGGTGGGCAAAAATACAAAAAAACCCCATTTCATACAGACTGCTTGAATGCATTCTAAAAATAGAACATCCTTTAAGTCCACGTCAAAACTCACATGTAGAGGCCAAGACATTTAGTTTAGCGTGTCCGACAAAATTCATAGCAAGTGCAGAGTCTTTGACAACACATTCTTTCGATAAACCACACAAGCAGGATGTGTTTGTAGCAGTATAAAAACCTGAGGTTGTTTTATTTGATTTTATGTGCTTTTTTTTTTTTTACAGTGGTACTGTCAGAATTTCAATTTGCAGCAACTCCAAAATTATATTCTTTCATTATTAGGCAAGTTTACCAGAGGAATGGGTATGAATCCTGCATCGATGGGAGGGAGCGCGTAAAAAATGGGCGACGCACCTCAAGACAACGTCATTATCATTTGCTTTCTTCGGCTTCAAAGAGGGAGAAAAAAAGGACAATAACTGCTCCATAATGTAGTTATGTATTCTTTTGTAAGGGCACAACATTCATGTGATCAACTGTCATTGAACATTCGAAACTCAACTTGAAATTCTCCACCTTTTGATTTGACTGAAACATATGGACAAAAGGGATCCAATATAAAAAAAAAAGTAAGAAGCTGGAAAAAAAAAAACAACAACAACAACGAAGAAAGACAGTCTGATCTACAATGACAGGAGGTCGAGGCTACTTGCGGCTGGTGATGCTGAAGGCGAGTTTATTAAGTAGCCTGAGGGCGGGAGCACTTAAGTCCCCTTGGGAGGGGTCCATTTCAGTGAGCTGGGGTCAATGGTTTTGTTGCCGTTGCCTCTCTTGACTTCCTTTGCTTTCCACTCATCGATCAGGTCCTGCGTGGAGGGAAATAAACTCGAGGAGTGAGCCGGCGTATGTGGAGTGGTCAGAACTCATTTTCAAATCACAAGGCACATCTTTAGGAGCACGTGTTAATTTGCATTAGTATGAGCTGAAATGAATTACAATGGAGTCGCATGCAAACCTTACAGGCACGTGTTAAAAGCTTCAAGATTAGTAGATTAGATTATTTGACTAATACGCAAGGTAAAATCGACTGAGAGTCTACACAATCTCGACATGCAGAACTATGAGCACAATCATGCCGGTATGTAATCATGACATGCATTAGCGTCAGCACAATGACCGGGGGCGGGGGCTTGACTACACAAACACAAACTACGTGCGATTGAAATACAAAAAAAAAAAAAAAAAAAAAGAATTAGAAATCTCACCTGTCGCTTCAACACCAAGTGCTTCCCCTTCCAGTATTTGAGCATCTGAAGAGACTGTAGCGTGCTCACAATGTCCACGGGATTGACGGCAGTTTCCTGACTAATCTCTGTGCATCAAGTAGACAGCACAACTTTGTTCCAAGCCTTTTGCCCAACATTTTGTTTGTTTGTCTGCGCAATACCTTTTGCCACACTGTTTTTTTTTGTTCTGTTTTTCTATTCCATGGATTTTTTTACATTTTTTTTTTTTTTTTTTGCCCTTCAACTGTGTAAATTGCATGTCCTCCAGTGTATACGGTCTTACCTTTGATCGAGATCTCCTTTCCTTGGAAGTTGTGCATATAACGGAGTAACACTTCCTTCCAGTAGCTGCGGTAGCTGATGAGGCCGAGGTCCGACAGAGGCCTCTCTGGCGAACCCACCTTCTCCTCCACTTTGGACAGGAGGTAGCCTACAAAAGTGAAGCAGACAACGGTCAGCGCGGATGCTTTTTGACCGTTCAGACAACTTTTGGGGCGAGTATCCATACTGAAGTCGATGAGCATCTTGCCAAAGCCCTGCCTCATGTACTGCGGCATTGTCAGAATGCAAGAAACATTGTAGTTGAGGAAGGAATTCTTTTCCTAGAAACACAAACACATTTAAAAAAATCACAGTGATTCTTTTTCCCCTGTTGAACATATCCTCAGCTATTCGCTATATTCACTGCATAGTTTTGCTCTTTCATGGATGTTTTTTTTTTCCTGTGTCGAGTGGCCATTAAAAAGCTCAGGCTAGTAAAACCACATGGGTGTAATTGTTGATATTTTTACACGTAATGAAGGAAATTAGTTTTCTCCAAATTATTTTGCGAGGTTATATTCACATTTTTTTCAACCTTTCCGCCATTATTCGCTGTCAAACTAATCTATTGCCCGTATGGCTCGGTTCTGTACTCACTTTGGAAAAGTATCCCACCAAATGGCAGCCTGTGTTGTCGGCCTCAGTCATGACATAAAAGAGGAAAGGCTCCACGTCGTAGTATAACGTCTTGTGGTCCAGGAAGAGTTTGGCAAGTAAACACAAGTTCTGGCAGTAGATCTGTGGAGTCCCATAACCCATTTCATCAATTAGTAACATGTCACAGTTATGTACGAGTCTGCATTAGCCCACCTTGTTTTTCTTGCCGTCAACTTCAAACACAGATATGGCGCCTTTTCTGTACACTTCATCTCCTGGAGGATGCTTCCACACACACTTGGCCTGACAAACACGCACAGTTTAAATTGTCCAACAATTCAAGAGCATTTACACGGTAGGTGTAGCAGTAGTGACGACACCCGTTTGCGATTCTCACCATGTGTCGCCTGAGGATGGTCTGGCTCTTCATGTACTTGAGACAGAATTCACACACGTAGAGGCGACCCAGGCGGGCGTACTCCTCGGGATAGGGCGAGTGGTACCAGGTGTCCAGCTCGTAGCGCCCAAACAGGATGGTCTTGATCATGTTACTCCCCTCCGTGATCTGACCCTGGATGCGCAGCTTCTCCTGCGGGCGGGCCAGAATCAAGAAGCAAATTGATGATTACCCTGCCGATACAAACTTTGGATCAAAAATGTCTAATTCGGTTGATTGAGGGGCTGAAACAACAGGATTTTTACCAGGTCCTCAGAGGCACGAGCCTGAGCTTTCCTGAAAAGCTCCAAGTCATAATCGCTGGTGATGTTTTCCAGCAGAGGCTCCCTGGTGTTGCCGTGCGTTTGTCGATGCTCCTGCGGATCACGCAGAAAGACACATTAAAGATGAGACCACATAAGTGATGACCAACACAACTGCCAGTCGCTATGGCGACAGAAGCGAAGAGCACTGTGGTACCATGTGTTTTTCTTTCTGCTCCTTCTGCAGCCCAGAGTTTCTCCCCTTCCTCAGTTCAGCCACCTGCTCTTTGTATCTGCTCTGCTTCGATGTTGGCGTCTAAATAAAAGACAAACAGATCCAATTAAGCGACTCCACTGATTACATAGCCAACTAAATTTGCTTTAAAATTTTCCCAAACCGAACCTGGTGACGGGTTGCATGGCGGGAATTGCTTTCTTCCTGTCCCTTCATCTCGTCATCTTGCTTCTCACGGCTGACAGCTTTCACCTGACAATAAAAAGCAAGGTGGGCATGTTATAAACACAAACTGTGGGCTGGTTTCGCACAAAAAAAAAAAAAATGCTGACAGCCTCCCACCCCCACCCAATTGTCACCTTGCATTCATCTGCGGACAGGTTGTGGTACAGAGGGCATCCTGACACAGCAAAGTGTCGTTCATGCTTTCCTGTGAGGTGACCTGTTTGACATCGTTGAAATAATACATTAATTGATACATTTTCAGAAGCAACTTGAGCCAAATGTAAGGCAATTTTACCCAGTGAATTACATCCAGGGGTTGGGCATTTCATGTTAAAGTTGTACGTCTCGTGGCACCTGCGACGTTTGGGTCGGTGGGAGAGGTCCTTATCAGAGTCTCGGTTGACCTGATCTTTGGCCTGGCTCTCGTCATGAGAGCCATTCGGGCTGGAGATATCCAGCTCAGACTCGGAGGATGGCGCATTTCCTGTTGGTGTCAGTGGCGGGGATTCATCATGATCCGCAGCCTGCTTTAAGTCAGCCGTATCTGTGTTTAAAAAAAAAATGTCAAACCAGAATATCTATTCAGCGAATGGAATGACAAGAGTGGTCTTTCAATTACACAAACCGTGAGAACTCTGGCTCAGGCGTGTGGAGGCTCTGGTGAGACGCTGTCTCTTGGTCCGGGTCCCATCGCTTTCTGAACTATTGGTCTGCTCTCTCTCAGCAGAAGAGTCCGAATCTTCAGTTCCATCAGAACCACTCCCTGCCATATGTCTCTGTTGTGATGAACAAACAATGTGAGGCATTTTGCCTCAAAGACTTGGTAGTTCAACTAGTTAAATGACTTAACTTTTGCTAGTGAGACTTGACAATTGGGTTTATCCAACAAAGCAACGAATTACGTGGCATGCTATTTCTTTATTCCCGAAACCTCTGTGGTCATGCTTTAGAACAGGCCACAGTTAGCCGCCTATGCTACGTGACCCACTGAACACTCAGTATTTTAACATAAAATTCCGTCTCAATCGCATTAAGGGTAGACTTGTGTGTCGTGGAATAATGGTGGTTTGATCGGAGCGTGTTAGCGTCCAGTTTCGAACCCGTTTTAAACACGTACCTTACTCAATCAGCAAATCAAAACATTTCATCCGTTACACTCACTAATTTCATTTCCAGCAGCCGTTTCTGTATCAATTCCTTTGATGAACAATTACCGTCGTCTTTTTTTCAGTTCGGCGGCTGTCGTTTAAAAAAAAACAAAAACGCTTCGTCCAAAATTTTAACAGCAAGGCTATCTATAATAATTAGCTTCTTCTCAACCAGCTGTGGCTACCATGTTGCGCTGATTGTATTTTTTTTTTAATGAATTACAAGCCAAATCTTAAATGTAACAATTTTATACTTCCCTGTCACATACACTTTCTTCTTGATATTTAAACAAACAAAAAATTGACGTGCGGTGTGATGTAGTGGAACATTTTGCCCACAATTCGAGTTCAACACTGTCGCTAACGAGCTAACCCCATTGACATTGTTAACTAGCACGCTTTTTTCCCTTACCTGTCGTCTGCGAGGCATGTTCAGCTGGATGAAGATTCGCTTGGACGCACGTTCTAAACAACGGGCACAATTTCGTGAAATTAAAGGTAGTCAAAGTAACGTAAAATCGTACAAGTATAAGCTAAATGTAAACGGTGTAGTATGGCTATGGCGCCACATCGCCCAAACGGACTAAAACTAAACGACGCGGCCAGCAGACGGCGCCTCACGCATTCTTTCGGTTTTTTTCTTCTTTTGTGGTGTTTGTGGTAACTTAATGTGCATTACTGTCACCTAGTGGACTGGAGAGTAAACTAAGCCCACGTTTCATTCGGTTGTTTTCATTTATTTTAGTTTTAGTTTTATAATTTTTTGTAATAAACGTTTCAAAAGGTGTAAATATGAAGAAATTAATTTATAGTAGAGGAAATAAATGAGTTACCCAGTATCGCCAATGTCAACCCATCACTGATTTTTTTTCTTTTTTATGAAGATGCAACATGAATTTGCTGAATATGAATTAATGACTTGACTTTCATGACATTCAAGTGTACTTTTGCTCATTGTGGGACTGATAAAGAGGGGAACGAAAAATCTTGGATTAGCCACGGTCCTGTTCAATAATATTCTGATTTCCTAAGATTTCTTGAGAATTTTGTAAAGTGATCATTTGTAAATGTAAACCTTTGCAGAGATGAATGGAAAAAAAGGCTGCATATGGATGTTTATTTGTTTCTTTGTTAAAGTGCTGATAATGAGCCCACTTGAGTCACGTGACAGGCGGCACATCATCAAAACAAAACGTGTAGCGCTGGGTACCAAACTGTGTCTGCTCCGCACAGCTGGGGGTAGCCATCAAGGGTAATCCAGAAAATACATGCATCCAGGAGAAATCCACTGGATGACCATAAAAGGTAGTGGGAACCCCTCCATTACCCCCACCCCCCAAACAGCTGATACCAACTTCTCCCAGCTACTATAAATAGCATCTTCCAGGCCTTTGCGATCCATTTGAGCAGCGAACTTGGAAGAGTGAGCAATCCTCAGTATAGTTGTTTCTGTTGTGCTTTTCTACAAATCTTTACAATGAACAAACTTAAAATTGTTAGACCAGAAGAGAGGTAAGTGATGCCCTTTTCGGTTTAATGTTGTGAAAATATCTCGACAGTTTCCTCTGTTCTTCAACAGTCAGCCAGCACATGCGGTGTGGTTTGACAGAAAAAAATATGTCACCATTAACTTCAAGGTGCAGAAACCTAAAGATGTCCAGGTTGACATCCAGACGGACAAAATGATCTTGTGGTGAGTTTAAAAACGTCATCAATTTGTGTACATCCCTTGGAATTGTAAGCACGTTTTGTGTTGTTGGCACTGCTTTGCTTTATCTTTTCCAACAGCTGCAAGAATGACACAGATGATGTGATCTACAATGAGCTCCACTTTTATGAAAAAGTCCAAATCCATGTCAGTGTCCGGTTACATGAAATCAAATCTAACACATTTATTACAAATGGGTGTTTAAAAATCTTTTATTTCTTCAAAGGATTCAAGGGAAATGAAAAAGTCCAAATCCATGTCAGTGTCCGGTTACACGAAATCAAATCTAACACGTTTATTACAAACTGTGTTTAAAAATATTTTATTTCTTCAAAGGATTCAAGGGAACGAGTATATGACCGCACCATCAATGTCTTGCTCAGGAAAATAAAGCCCGATTATGCGTGGCCTCGTCTTCAGAAGGACCCAGAAAGGGTACATCTTACAGCCTCGTCTTCAGAAGGACCCAGAAAGGGTACATCTTTATTTTCATGTTTTATTTCTAATTGAGGACAGTCGGACAATTGCATTTGCAGAAAAGATAAAGGACTCCATGCTTTCCTTCCTTATGCAGCCTAGTTGGATTTCTGTGGACTTTGATAACTGGAGGGATTGGGAGAATGAAGAAGAAGATGGAAGGGAAGAGTATGAAAAATATGTCGACGTAAGTAAAGTCATTTAGTAGTACAGTATTTCTCAAAGCATCTGCTTTTTGTGCACGGAAATACTTCTGCCCCTCCTAGATGATCCAGGACATGGCCACCAGTAATAAAGGAGCAGCACCAGACATGAGGGATCTTAGTGATGTAAGTCCAGTGTGATGCAAAAATAAAATGTCAGAATTTAAGAATATTGCTGTATAATACATTGATTACTGATCCTCTCACTTGCGGCACAGTCTGACTGAGACCTACAGCGTCTTCTGCAGGTTGGAAACCACCACAGAGTTCAGTGCTTTTAAGTCTCTTGTGAACAATTTACCAAAGTGAACTTTTAATGTAATAATTTATTCATTGTGTCTTGTTCCATGCATATATCATTGTAAATTGTAATATAAAACAACCCGAATCTGTAGGTTGGAAACTACCACTCTGAGTTTATTGCAGAGGACAGCATTGTTTGTTGGTACTGTACTTGTAATTGTCTTTTGAACTATTCATCTTGTCATATATACATGAAACATTTTTGTTTGTATAAAGTCATGAAATCATTGTCATTTTGAATAAAAAGTCTTCCTGGTGTCAAAGACTTTAATGAATTATTTCATGAAATATATTTTGTTTCGTCCCGATAAATGTTTCCTTTACCTGCAGATACATGTAAACAGCATCATCCTGCTATCCTTAGAAATGTGTTTTAAAGAAATATCCGTGACGTTTAATATTAAAATGTCAGCTAAATTAGGGTTGTTTTTTTCTAATTTGTTTTTACGACGTGGAAAAAAAATCGCCTTTGTTGATTTTGGCCATCCCGCTACCCGTAGAAGAATGTCAGCTCACTAGCTCGAGACTCCGCTTTACTTTTGTTTCTCATCATTTACGGCCTTTCTTCAAAAATAAGTCAGTATGGCTTTCCAATGTCAGCGGGACTGCTATATGAAAGAGGTAAGAGCATGACTGCGGTCATATGTTAACGCTTAATTCTTTGAAACAATAACGCTAACGTTGTGTTCTCTGCAGAAGTGGTTAGCACGGTTGCTAACGGCTGCCAAAGGTGACAGTCCTGTCTATTGTAATATTATTACTTGTGGTACTAACGGGTTGTTTGAGTATGTTTTTTTTTTTTTGCCCACTTACAAATGTAGTTTCAAGAAATGACACATTCTGCAAGATGATCAAAGTTGACCAATGAAAAGTATTACATTTCAGTTTCATAAATGTTTTTTCTATTTTTACAAAAAATACGTACGTAGGAATCCTTGTTAAAAAATTAAGAGTGCAGATACTGATTTAACTCCCATGCAAGTTTCTTTTTTTAAGTACAGACTGAAATGCACTTGTGTAAAAGTGAAAAGTAAAATTTTTTTTTACTGTCATTTATATACAATATACTCATGATAATTTGGCACAATGGAAAAAACTCCCCACGGCTTTCTCTTAGTTTGTCACAACTGTAGCGTCCTGCTGTCCTGCGGAGCTCAAGCAGGAAATTGGTGGAAAGAAAGAAAGTGTGAGTGGATTCACTGTCAAGCTGCAAGACACCATCTTATTCCCTGAGGGAGGCGGCCAGGTATGCATGATTTTGCAAACACGTGAAGTTCTGAATCGCATGGCATGATGATATGGGAGGAGCGGCAGTAAAACATGCAGAAATATTTGCTTTTCAGAGCCCTTTATTTTTTTCTCCACTTCTTCCACTAGCCAGATGACCACGGGCTCATAACGGACATCCCCGTTTTGAGGGTGACCCGACAGGGCCAAGACGCCGCTCACTTTGTGGCCTCGCCCCTGGAAGTTGGTCAGGAGGTGCGAGTGAAGGTGGACTGGGAGAGGAGGTTTGACCACATGCAGCAACACTCAGGTGGGCCTTGCAAAGAGTTTTCGAGAGCTAATACTGACACTAATGTCTGTTTTATTTTCTCTTTTAGGACAACATCTGATCACAGCCCTGGCAGAAAGCATGTTTGGACACATGACCACATCTTGGTATATTTTGTGTATATTATATAGCTGAAGAGCACTGTATGCTGCCTGTATAAAATGAAAACACTTCACATTACTGCAGAACACCTGCATTTTTTTTTTTTTTTTAAAGGGAGCTTGGACGTCAGAGAAGCACCATTGAACTGGACACCCCTGTTGTTAAAGCAGCCCAAGTACAAGCACTGGAGGAAGCTGTCAATGAGAAGATCAGAGCTCACATCCCAGTCAATGTTAAGCTACTTTATAATGACAGCCCTGAGTTGGAAAAGGTGCATGTCAGTGCTCATTTGAATATACGTCTCATCAGACTGAGAATTATCTTATTCGAGTATTGCAGATCTTGATCAAAATTGCAGTGTATTGACTCAATTTTTGCTGGTGTAGACGTCAAGTGCTTATCCGTGTTGTGTGTACGACGCAGGTGAGGAGTCGAGGACTGCCAGACGACCACGCGTGGCCAATTCGAATTGTTGATATCGAGGGAGTCGACGCCAACATGTGTTGTGGAACGCACGTGTCGAACCTCAGTCACTTGCAGGTGCCTAAAAACACTTTGCCTTTATTTCCTCCATTGATGCTCAGAAAAATACAGTGTTAGACTTTGTTTGCATAACCTCCAGTAATTGCAGAAATCAATTTGGATTTTAGGTAATTAAGCTGCTGGGGACAGAAAAAGGAAAGAAAAATAAAACCAATCTGATATTCCTGGCGGGAAACCGAGTGCTGAAATATGCAGAGAAGAGCTACAGCACCGAGCGTTCTTTGGTGGCTCTGCTCAAGTAAGCTGATCCATCAAAACAGTCGGCAATTTTTTCTGTCAAAAGCCTTAATTGTCACTTTCCACCACCAATCGTTTGTGTGAATGAAACCGCTTCTGTCACCAGAACTGGCCCAGATGAACACGTTGAGGCTGTGGACAAGTTGCAAAAGTCTATGAAGCTTGTGCAGAAAGTGAGACAACATTTTTATTGACTTACACACAAGAGGCTTTAGTCATCTTTTTGTTGAGACATTTTTTTTGTAAAATGCAGACTAACTTGAACCTACTTCGTGACATGGCCCTTCTCATCGCTCACAACTTTAAGAATGATCCACGCAGAGGGAATTTCTTCAGTTTGCACAGGTAAGAGCTGCTTCTTGTCCTGTTAAATGGTCAGCTTTTCCCCAAAGCGTAAACAAAATGGTCTCCTCCGACCCAACAGAAAAGAAGGGGACCATGAGTTCATGAACATCATCGTCAATGAAATAAACACACAGGTAAGAATGTAAAACATTTGTTTTTTTTTTTGGTATTACATAAATTATCGCTCATCTCTCTTTTGACTGTTCCCAGGAAACTTTGGTTTTCCTGACGGTTGGGGAGGAAAAGGGGCCAGGTTTGTTTCTGCTAGCTGGACCAAGTGAGCAAGTCACACAGTTGGGACCACGGTAGGGGGAAAAAAAAATTCAGTTTCTCACTTAAACTGCACAGTATTTTTGTCGTCAAGTGCCGATTATCACGCAATTGTGGGACGACATTTATTATATCCAACGTTTTCTCCCCGCAGGCTGTTACAGCTGCTTCAAGGGAAGGGAGCCGGAAAAAATGGCCGCTTCCAAGGCAAAGCCAACAGCCTGGCGCGAAGAGGGGAGGTGGAAGCTTTCTTGCAACAACGCTGCAACCAGTTTAACTTGCAAGAAGAATAAATCCATCTTAACATAGCTTCATAGTTTTTTATTAACAATAATACAAAAGCACTTGCGGGAACATGTTAAATGTGGAGCACATCTGATTAAGCCAATATCACAATTTTTGGCTGATTACACTGCAGTTCAATGTGTAAAAATCTTTATTTCTAATTTAAAGAAAAATAATAAATGTATGATTTTTTAAAAAGTGTTGTGTTTGTAACCCACTGAGTGATACCAGTGTTCATGTGGAAAAGTTAATCACCATTCCTGTTGACTTAATCACAGTTTTGTGCATGGCAGAATGTTGAAATAGTGCAAACAAGCAAGCATCCCTTCCCATTCACAATTGTTTAAGATAAGATGACGTGCGATTAAAAAGACAGTGAGATAGTTTGACATTACTGCATTTTGATCCTTTGGACATTTCCATCGTCCTTTACAGGTCCACTGCACCTTGGCGGTCGTCCGTTTTATTTGAGTGGCTTCACTATCTTCATTGAGATGTAATTCTGGAAAAGGCAAAAGAAATTGAATCATTTAACATCCAATACAAAGGCATCGAGGGATACACTGCTTGAAAAAAAAAATGACATGAGGAATGCATTATTTAATTGAGAGAGTATATTAAAGCAAGACGATTTAACTTGGGTGACCACTTCATGTGAGATTTTCATTTTTGCACTGTTCCAGTTCCAATCATATGTGTGTCATGACACCTACAAGACGGGTAACGCTTACCGGTAGAGAGTACAGCAAGATGGCGAGGAAGAGGAGCACAATGGTGAGAACGATGAGTCCAATGAAGAGACAGCGGAACCGTCGCCACACGATAAACTTCATGGTCTTGCACGGGTTGGTGAACCAAAAGAAGGATGTTTCGGGGCGCCTGTTGGTCATGCAGATGTTTCATAAAAACGACGGCCACGTTAAAAAGACGACCAAAGTGTTTGTTAACGGGCTCCTACTTGGGAAGGTCCAGTTTCGGGTTCATGTTGGGTTCATCTCTGCCTTTTCCTGCCGGCTTTTCATCCACGTCATCCTCGCTGAGAATTTCCAGAGTCATCTCTACTTTGCCCTACGAACGCAAAACAGCAGCTCAGGAGCCTGATTATCTCATTTTTTTAAAAATTAATTTTGTCCATTCTCACCCCGAGGGTCTTGTGCCCATGCCGCTCAATGGAACAGGGCCACCAGCCCCTCGCTGACTTCTGGGTAAACAAGCACTTGGCAGCTTCGGGCTTGTGGGGCACGTCGGTCTCCACGTTATCCATCATGGACAGTGTACACTTCTCTGGTGTCTTTGCGGGCGGAATCAAGTTGTGCAAATAGAGCTCCAGCGTTCCTGGGATCCAAGCAACAACAACAACGGTTATTGAATGAGTTTCCCAACTGAGCTCCAGCGTTCCTGGGATCCAAGCAACAACAACGGTTATTAAATGAGTTTCCCAACCGTTAAATAGTGTAAACATATTTGTTAAAAGTGTACAACTCTCACCGAGATAATCATCCAGTGAGAACTTGTCATTGTCCCATATCTGGATCGTCAGCTTCGGCGGGATCCTGAACTCTGTTTTGTCCAGACTCCAAAAGTGCTCCTGTTGAAACAGCAACTGTCAGTTTGATATTCTTGCACCAACGCTCCTCCTGCCCCCCATTTGTCGCACAATTTATTGCAAATGATGTTGCTTTTGAGAACCACTGGGTCGAAACTCCACAGGCTAACATAAAAGGCAGACGAGGAAGGGCGCTCACCTTCTTGGAGACGAGGCAAAGTTGTTCTGCGGGAAGGTAGTCGAACTCAAAGACGAACCTCCAGTTGAAGTTGCCGTCTCCGTCGAGAGACCTGTAGTGGACGTCGGTCCTCTGCTTGTCCTCCTCCATTCCTGGCATCCAACTGCAGCAAATCAGATGCATTTTTTTTAATGAGGGAAGAAGTTTAAGTAGAATAAAGTGGAATTAAATCATACGTACCCTTTGACGTAAATGTCGCTCATGTGCTCTCCGGTGACGCTCGTTTCATCCAGAATCACGTCCGTTGTGTTCCAAATGACGACGCGCAGGAAATGTCTGAAATAAAAAATGAAATCTGATCTCAGCGCTGATGGCATGATTTCCGAGTGAAAAAGCAAGACGTTTTAGCGTACGTCTGAAATAAAAAATGAAATCTGATCTCAGCGCTGACGGCATGATTTGCGAGCAAAAAAAGCAAGACGTTTTAGCGTACACTCACTTCTTGGCCTTGCGTGGGGTGATGTCAAAGGGTGGGCCGGGTGCGCCCATGCTTTTGGGGAAAACGTCCACCCACATCTGAAGCCTTCCCTGTACACGCACCGACAGGTTCTTAGAAGAGGCCGCTTAACGCTGACGTTGAGGCGGTCGGGGCGTGTATGAAAATTTGGACAAACCTGGGACAGATTGGGCTGAAAGCTGCTGTAAAGTGTCCTGGTCTCCACATGCTCAGGCACCAGTCCCTGCGTTCGCAGGATGTGCAGACACAGACGCTCACAGGCTGGACCCAAGTGCTCATGAATCTCCTTTTTGCCCTCTGGAAAGGGAAACAAGTCATGTCGTCTTCTTAACACAGGTCCCAACGACGGTGCAAGATGCTCAGGCACCAGTCCCTGCGTTCGCAGGATGTGCAGACACAGACGCTCACAGGCTGGACCCAAGTGCTCATGAATCTCCTTTTTGCCCTCTGGAAGGGGAAACAAGTCATGTCGTCTTAATGTCTTTTTTTTTTTTTTTTGAACATTTGGACTTGGGGACGGAAAACCGCAGGCCCCAACGACGGTGCAAATGCAGCACGTCAAATTTGGATCAACGCCCGCAAAACTCGTAAGTGAACTGACCAAAGTGAGCCAGAGTGTATTGTTTTCCGTTGAAGGTGAGCGAAGTGCCGTTGTCCTCACTCCTAGGTTTGGAAAAGCCTTTCAGACGAGCTAGGTTGTCCAAGATCTCGGATGGCTTCAGCTGGTCGCGCCACTGGTTGATTCCAGAACTGACAACAAACAAATATGGATAAGAAGACACTATCGTGATGTCATTGAGTTTTTGTTGATGCAGTGCTCCATTGCAAAAAAAAAAAAAAAATGCAAACCATCCAATTCTGATGGCTTCCCTTCTGTCTCAATGATACCCGAAACAAAAAAAAAAGTACAAGAAGAGCAAACAAAGCGGATTTCACTCATCCACGGTTGCCTTACGTGCAGTAGGTCTGCGGGAGGCCGCAGTAGGAGTTGTAGCGGGACAGGAAGCGGTTCTCCAAGTCGATCACGGTCTCCCCGACTTTCTCGTCGCGACTCAGGAGGTCATAGTCGTACACGGAGATTTTCAAGTCCTTGTCTTGGGGTAAGAAACACTTCATCTCAAACATCCTACGAAAAAAACCAAAAGGGGCATATGAACCACATGCTGATGAACAAATCCTCCCCCGGGCATCAACTACCTTCCAAACAAGGGGTTGGTTGTGTTGGGGAGGTAATGGTCTCTGTCCTCTATTGTGTTCTTTCCCAGGGTTATCTTCATGTATGGGTCACACTAAAAGGAAAGCGCCAAGTTCAACACATTGCGTAGTAGACCTTGTTATAAAAAAAAAAAATGCAGTTTGTTGACAAGTCATTCTCACTCTGCCGTTATTGTCTTTCGGCTGCAGATCGATGGCCCGGACCACGTAAATCCTGACCAGACACTCCTGAGGACCACTGTCTGGGAGCTCTCGGAATTGCCGGGGAGGAGGGGTGACACCGGGGTCATCTGGCAGCGGGTACACTTTAAAAGAGCCCTGCAGGTGCAAGACCACAAATATCACTTCACAGATCAGGAGGGTTTTTTTTAATTTTTTTTATTGTGATTGTGTCAAAGTACCTTGAACTCCCCAACCACACTCGGGTCATCGTCACCATCCTCGTTCTTGCCTCGTTGCAGTTTGAAAGTGCTGCAGAAGTCTGTCAGTCCTTTGAATTCTTGAATGTCTTCTAGTTCACAATCATACACCTGAGGTGAAAAAGAAAATAATCAAGCTCATGAAATCTAAAAGACGACAAGGACTGCATAAATTGAGAAAGCTTCATAACCACACGATTCGGAACACCACCGAGTCAACTTGTGTACATTTGAAGCGAAATCTTACTGTGAGGGTGTCATATCCTTTCTTGAGGTAAGGGCCACATTTCTGATTCTCCCCCACTGACGCGTAGAATTTACTCCACCAATCCACCGTTTGCTTTTCCTAGGAAGTGGATTTTCCCAATCAATCCGTTTCCTCACTTTGAAAAGAAATCCATCGACGGTAACTTACCTTCTCGACGTGCTGTGCATACACCATACATAGGAAGTCAAAAGAAGAGAAAAACTTATTGATAGAATTAAGACATTTTTTTCCTCAAAAGACGTTGCAGCAGTTATAATACATTGTGAAAATGAAGTGGTGTACGATTTGAGCTGCAGATTGAGGACCGACGAGGCCCAAGGCCACTGGTCCAGAACGTTTGTATCTCAAGCACAATGGCACATTTACCACCTTCGTAAAACAATCTTGTTGAGCAAGAGCTTCTTTTTTTTTTTTTTTGCAAACCAAACTTGCACGTCAGCATTCAGTTTGGACATTTGGGTTCCATTTTTCACGGTGCTACTGATACAAACGTCAAGGCCTTGTCGGTTCTGGGCCACGGTCACGCTACTCTCCTTCAGTGACAAGTTGTATTAGTTTGGATGTGCTCATTAGATGTGCTCCATAAATGAACAAAAGAAGAGATTGCAAAAGCGTGTCGTCTCCAGCACACATTAATGGCATTGTGACTTCATGAGCGCTGCGTCAGCTTTCCAGTGTCTTTAGTGTCCAGCTTTGTGATAGAGCGAAAATAGCAACGACAAGTATCCATACATACAAAGTAGGAGGTAGGGGGAGTCATTTTGTTGACAGCAGTCGACATGCTGCACATTAACTGCAAGCCAGAGTGACACCAGTTGTCAAATTTGACTCCGCAGGTCAAATTCTGACTTTTTAGTCCAAAGTCCTTTGCGATTAAATCATTAGAACATCGGATGAAAACATTCTTAATACGACTTACTTGGGTTTCTAACAGTAATCTCGTTTCTTCCATATTGATGGAGAGGTGTCCGGATGGAGTCGCTGCCATGAGGGCCACTGCAAGGGTACAACATCAAGCATTTGGGACTGATGATTTTTCATTTGGAACTTGATTGACACTTGAAGACGTGTACTCCGTTGTGTCAGATGCCCCGTCAAGTAGCGCTATTTTGTGATCCTTACTTTTGGAAGCCATTGCTCCCGCAGCCGTGATGACGTATGGGTCACAACGGAACTGCCCCAAAGAGGTGATGGTGCACTGGCCCACCACCGGTTTCCTGCCGAATGGACGGTGGTCAATCACCTTCAGCACGATCGGAGGCGTGTACATCTCATCCTTTGGTAGAAGCTGGAGGGTTGACGGGGAGACAGATGAAACAAGTCGGTCCACGTGCCAGTTGAGGTTTCAATAAGCACCGGAAACTTAAAAACAGCTTTTGTTCATTTGTTGACTTGACAAATGTGATGATTCAGATATGCCATTTCGCCAAATGCAGTTCAATGCGGTCTGTAGAAGCTGGAGGGTTGACGGGGAGACAGATGAAACGAGTCGGTCCACGTGCCAGTTGAGGTCAAGTTTCAACAAGCACTGGAAACTTAAAAACAGGTTTTGTTCATTTGTGGACTTGACAAATGTGATCATTCAGATATGCCAATTCACCAAATGCAGTTCAATGCGGTCTACGGTTGGTCGTTACCACTTTGATGAAGAGCACCGAGCTGGGGAAGTTGGGACTCTTTTTCATGTTCCTGATGACCGTCGATTCCACCCTCTGCCCGCCGCACTCCGCCACCAGGCTGGGGGAGGACACGGTGGCCAGCTGAAAGGGCTTCATGTTCCTCAGACCCCATGCTAGAATCTGCAGGTGGCAATGACAAATTCACTTTCAGAGACCTTGCGGCTTCATGTTCCTCAGACCCCATGCTAGAATCTGCACGTGGCACGTCATTACAAATTCACTTTCAGAGACCTTGCATTTCAAATTTGTCAGACGGACAAAACGCGAGGCGTTACCTCCACGGCAGTGAGCTGCACAACGGGGCGGATGCCCTGCGGAACCATGTAGAGGTTCTCTGCCCTCATTGGGGGAACAAGAGGAAGATCTGACTCTCCTGACTGCAGAGAGAGTCAAGAGGAGTGAGATCATCCTGGAATAAATCTCCTTTAATTTGCATGGCACTTACCAAGGTTCGCAACAATTTTGGGAAAAAAATTCAATGTTTGACAAAATCCAGAGGCATTTTTATGGGGTGCAGACCTTATCTTTCAGGATGAGTTCAGCGGCCACAAGTGCCTCCCCTTCCTCGCGTCCCCTTTGCATGATGGGGTGCCATAGCAGTTTGGGTATCTGATCCATGCTGGGATTCAACTTGACCAATGGAACGCATACGCACCGACCCAGCAGCTCATCCTTGCCCTGGGACAGTCAATGATCTTGTTAGGGAAGGAACATTTTCTCAGACCGGATGAACTAAATGACTCCCTTTGTGTAGCGTTACCACTTGGTCATGGTCGTAGAACTCGATGACAACATCCGGTGGATGTTGCGCAAGAGCCTGCGGGTCGCCGTAAATTTCCACATGGTTGAAAATCAGGGTTTGGTCCCAGGTTGGGTTTAACGTGGCACGCAGCTTCTCTGTTGTCTTACTTAGATGCAGGAAGGAGACATGGGCGTACGGATCTGTAAAGAAAAGAAAAAAAAAATTGGTGGATCGTGGCCAAAGATTGTTCGAATTTATTTCACTAAAATGTGCCAACATACCAGAAAAACTGTCTTTGTCCATCGATGTCATGTTTCTTGCTTGATAGACATAAACACGCAGGTGATACATACATGACCCTGAAGGGGTAGAGGAGGGGGGGTTAACACAATCACTAACATGTTGTGGGCAGTCATTTCTATTTATGCCTCCAGTCAATATGCTGCATATCACTCACTGTCTAAGGAGCAGGACACGGTGGGTGTGTTTGCACCAAACATCTTTGTGACATCGCCCTTGGAGCTTTTCTCTTTCTCCTCCGTATCAACACCCTGCAAAGTAAAATCAACATAGGATCCAAAGACTTCTATGGGAAATGGCACACTTCACACTTAATGCATAAGTCAATATTTAATACTAGAACTGGTTCATGATACCAGCCTTCCTCTTATTTAACAAGGATGGGAGCGCATATTTCCGTCGAGCTACTGTAGGCCTAAGGACTCGGAATCGAACAGATTTGTAACCCACCAGTGCACCCTCCAGTTTGAAGATGGCCGACGCTCCCAAGCGGTCTTCCGGCGCCATCTTTCTCCTCCAACGCCTCCGACGAAATGTATCCGACGACCGTTCCTTCCGGTGGAACTTCCAGCCGATCAGCGAAGAGAATTCCCAACCCTCCGGGTCGCCCTGGTCCCGCCTCTGCGCGCAAAGCGACGCGTCGTTCGAGCCATTTTGCTCAAATTGGAGCAACGCCGACGAAATGCTGACCTCTGCGGTTGCACCTGCGGGAAGAGCGGCTCTCCTGCGAGGTCGAACCACCCGTCGCCGACGATGGACATGGTAGACCTTCTCTGCCGGCACCCAGGACCGGGGCTTGTCATCCGGCGGAATGGTCAGTCCATATTCCCAACCTGTGGAAAACACATTTTTCCTTTGAGTTTGCCATTCAGGGCCAATGGATTCATGACAGCACCTTGATCATCCACAGCTCTGTTGTCATCAACTGTCCACTCGTCCTCCCACGCCCAACCGGGAGGACAATCAAACTCCCGTGGATTCCGGCTCTTCTCACCATTCTGCGTAACACGACATTTTATGAACTCGAAGATCAGCAAGAAGAAAAATCGACCTCACGGCAGCATTCATGTTTGTGTGTGCACTTGACAGCTTCACGGGATATTTGCATGTCTGCGCTTTTCTCACCACGTCGGTGAAGGGCTCCGAGGCTGATTTCCACTCTCCACCGGGGAAGCGGGTCTCATTTTGGAAAACCTCATCCATGAATTCAGTGTGTCCTGCGTCGGCCTCCGTTAAGAGACTAACACAAAAGTCGCATCAGAAGAAAGAAGCAAACAAAAAAAGTATATCTTCTGTCGTATTCAGTTGCACCTTGGATGGCTTTTGTACTGTACAGTGGAGATGCAGGTAACATATACACATTTTGTAACAGAGACAGAGAGGGGTAAAAAGTGACCCTTTGACCACCCTGGCAGGACTGCTATTTTCTCAATAAATCACGGTGAGTGGCACGAGAGGAATGTTAACACAAGCGGCCGACTCATTTCCTCTGCAGAGCTGAGAAAATGAACATTATAAATAACCATCATGAAGGCATTCATAATAGCCGATGTCATCCCCCCGCCCCCACTTTTATGGAGGACAAATGCCTATTGACCGATTAGTATGCAACTGCACTCACGCTTTCTCCGGGTCAATAAACCACTCCGACTCCCACTCCCATCCTCTGGGGGGCATGAAATACTCCTTTTTCAGCTTGAGGTTGCCTGTTACGTCAGAGAATTTATGGCGCCCCACCAGTCCTGTGGTTCCCCACTTTCCAAACATACTGGCTTGGTTCTCGTACTGCAAAAACCAAAAAGGCACCATGGGTCAGTTTCAAATGCGCGCTGGCTCCAGGACTCAGAATCAAAACAAAGTGAACAATGTCCTTTCCTCCGCCTGTAATTTCTGCCTGCCAAGCGTGTGCCCGACTTTTGAGATTTATTTGAATGAACGTACCAGCTCTGCAAACACACTGAAAGTTCCCTCGGAGAAGGAGTTGAACTTCTTTTCATGTGCAGATAAACCCAGCCACATGTTGACTCGGATCTGAACAGGCACCTTCAAGCCTTTGTCCTTGTCCATGGGGTACTGAAAGGAACAAGACAGCCGGCTTCGACTTGGATCGACAGGAGGGACGTCGGCGAGTTTTGCCGACATGTTTTGATTGTAATACATACCTTTAAAAATATAGTCTGGGTTTTGCCACAGTGGTGCCCACAAGCCTCCTCACAGTATGTGGAGTAGAGGATTTGGTGAGCTGGTACGCGGCTGTAGGCCACCCTCCTCTCGCCGCGCAGCATCCAGATGATCACGTCGGGCATGCTGTTCTGAGGCTGAAGGCACACAGAGTGGGGAATTATGCATGTGATGCTACAAAACTGAGCGACACCCCCAAAAAAATAAAAAAATAAAAATCAACCACTTGGAAATAAGCATGACCACACAAATATTAAAGTTAGATTCTCCGTCGTTTGTGCGTTCACCTCTTCCGCAAGCGCTGCGAGTTTGTCCGCCCACGACTCGATGTCGGCCAGAGTGTCGGCAATGTCTTGGGCCTCTTGTCTCATGCGTATGGCTGCCTGCTGGATGCCCTTCAGGCCATTGTCTCGCAGCTTCTTGAGTTGGATGTCCAAGGATGTCAGGTTGGAGCGGCCCTCCAGCTCCGGTGTTGGGAAACTGGGGAAAGGAGACCATGTGAGACCACAGGTTCTTCACAATCCAAAGTGATCCAGTTAAGCGCCGTTTGATTCCGATCCTTCACTTACTTTGCTATGTCTTCAATCAGCCGAGTCAGCAACTTCACCCATATGCCAGACATTTGCTTGTCGGGTGCCTTCGCCGAGACCGTTGTTCTGAAGACCTCCAGGTTAGATTGCTTTAACAGGGAATCAAATGCCTGGATGAATTCTCATCCCCCCCAAAATTGAATGTTTTATTTGGGGATGAAATGGAGCATTACCAAGCGGCGATAGATGTAAAGGATGATGTTGACCGTGTCCATGCGGTGGCTGATGTCCTCCCAGAATGACGTCACCACAACTACTGGCTTGGTGCCCGCCCACGGCAAGTAATAGTAGTGGTTACCTTGAAACATGACACGCCGTTAAAAAAAAAAAAAAATACATCTTTAATTCGGCAAGAATTTGAATTGAGGCTCACTCACCATCAAACACAGCGCAACTATACTGAGTGGTGGAGGCCAGCGGTTTGCAGGTGTTGTCCAGTTTGTTGCCATAGTTACCGATGCTGACCTCAAACTGAATTGGCTCGCCTGGTTCCTGGATCATGGAAGCACTGTGGAAGACTGCACAGAGGCAGTATTTCCTTCTCCTCTGGTACTTCTGATGTAAAAGACAAAAAGGGCAACAAAATGAAGTTACAAGTTAGAATTTTTTGTCTTGCCTTTTTGCATCTCTTGGCAAAAGAATATTACCTGCACCACCAAGATATCATCACTCGGGATGCTGTCTACTGCTTTGTCAACTTTGCCTTCTAACTTAGTAGACATTTCGACCAGGACCCTGCCCCTGTAGGCCACGCCTTCACCCTGTTCAAAAGCACAGGGTGGTGGTTACAAACCCATTTAAAAAGTTTCATTTTTTTTCCCCTCCATGGAGAAACTATGCTAATACAACAACAGTGCATTTGCCACCATTACCTTTCCCAAATTGAGATCTTCATAAGGGTCGGGTAGTCCAGTGAACTCTCTGGGACTGCCATAGAGATTGATATAGCAGGGACCAAAGACGGGGAGGAAACCAATCTCCGACTCGCCCGTTCCGGCTTCATGTAGATACAAACACAAATTAGACTTGGATTTCACCGTGCAGGATAATAAAAAAAATGTGTTAAGAGGCAGCGAAAAGCTTTTTAGTAAGCAGTGTATGCAGCTCTTGATCAGGCAACCCAAAAATCATGTTTGAGAACGAATGCACAAAAAAAGCACTTGCAGCGTTTAAATTTAACAGTGAACCCCCAGTCACAAGGGCTACAGGCAAGATACACCTGCTGTAGGTGAGCATTTTTAAATATGGTGGTTTTACCCCTCCCGCACGCTTTAAACATTCCAAGTAATTAAAACAACTTTTAACACAATGTAAATGGATTTGGAAAAAAATTCAATCATAAAGTGTATAGGAAATAGTAATCGTATAAAAATTGTGTCTGTCAAATATGTACCTCTAAAAAAAAAAAATGACTGCTTTAAATTTCGACTATAAAGCAGGGATTTCTGAGACAGATGCGCTCCAAGAAAATAACGGATTATAGCAGGATGGGGGAGGGGGTAACAAACTGCAACAGAGTGGGGGAACACTGTATTGAGCAGTTAGCCGGCACTATATTCATAGCACAGAGGCAACACGGCAAAAGAGAGCACGGATGAACCTTCATATGACGACAATTCCGTACTTCCTGCATGCTCCTCTATTTCAGGAAAAAAAAAAAAAAGGCACCATTTAGAAGTCGGGAGAAAAAGTGGCGACACTGTTCACACGAAAATCAGGAACCTAAGTCCAAGTGATGTGGGGTGAAAGAAATAAAATAAATCAAGCACCGTTTTGGTGCAAAATAAATCATTAACCATACCTTCAATTTCGCCCCCAGAGGAGGCTATTTTGGCCAAGTTGAGGTACGTAGTACCAACAGCATCATTCCCAGTCACGCGATCCCTGCAGTCAAAAGTCACATTCCTTAACACACAGCTCAGCGCACACATTCAGGTGGCAAGATAAACATGCATGAGGTGCAAAGCCCACAATGGATTACCATGCTGTGCTTTTTAAAATCGCCGTATGGTGGCTATGCAATCACCACCCCACAATATTAAACACACCACTCCAACATGATTTTTTTTTTTTTGAGGGGGTGATACAGCTCTTGAATTGTTCACTTAATGTGACCTGCATAAACATTTAATTGTTCATGTCTAGTACTCAGCAAAACATGCTGGGTGGGAAGTTTTCACCGGCAAATCAGTCAACCTTTTTTCGCACTTCCTCTTCCATCTATTTCCCTCCTGCCTTATCAGACATATTGTTCGCTCGGGAGTACACGGTGATGAAAATGAACAGGAAGACGGTGCCAACAGGATTACAGAGTTTGTTATTGTGACGGAAGGGAGGAGCCAGCACAGTCTGACTCATAGGCCACATAATTCTCATCTGGCTGGTGATGGAGCGCACCCGTGCACTGCAAAGTCAAGCTGACCACATGGCGGAAAGAGTGCGCGCTGACGGTTCTCAATACCAAAGTAACGGCATCCGCTTTTTCATTCGGGACTTACCAATCAAAGACCGTCAATTTGACACGCTCGCACATGGAGGGGAACTAGAACAGAAAATAGTCTTTCATCATGACCTACTTTGGTACAAGCTATTGAGATATAAAATGGATTCACCTTGACCTGAAGATTCAACACTTGGTTCCACTCCGGGTTAGCGTTCCTCTCGATGATCTGAGTACATAGCTGCACGGACGAAAGGAGTCAGACGTATCCTTCCATGGTACCTCGCGTATAAATATGAGGCCGTTTCAAAGACGAATGACTAGGGACCTTTTTCCCGGCAAAACGGGCCTCGATGAAAGGATCAACCAGGTTCTTCTTATTCTCATTTCCGCCAAAAACCTCCTTCAGTGACTGGATGAAGGCATCGTCCACTGAAACAGAGGACCAACTCTAAGTCTTCCGCTTGTCGTGAATCTAACGGCTTTCTGCAAAAGCGTCTTACTTTGCGGGATGTCTTCCGCTCTAAACACCTTCAGCGATAACGTGGCCCATCGTAAAGTGACACCAGCTGGAAGCAACAGGTTGCTTTCGATGTCATCTTGGTCTTCGTCGGATTCCCTCTTCTCCGACTGGGTGAGGACGAGGAAAGAGGTAACACATTTATTTGCGTGATAAAAGAGAAAAGACGGCGCCTCAAACATCAAACAAGCTCTCCTGCTTTCTTACCGGCTGCTCATCGCCGATCCCGACCACGAACAGACTGACTTTCAGGTATCCTTTCGCTCCAGAGCTGGAGTCATCCGGATCATTCAGGAGCAGCCACTTCCTCATGACACAGTGGCCTGCAGCGCAAGATGCAATTAGAACTCGAACATCATCCGAGTGACTGCACTGAATAAATTGCGCGACTATAAAACAGCCCCCCCACCCCCCACCCGCGAGTGCGTAAAAGTCTTGGAAAATGCAAAGGAGTGGTTTGTCACAAGCTTACCTGCTTCGTCATACACATAGCCGACGTCAAGCTGTGTAGGAAGACAAAAAACGTGAGCACGACGACCGAAACGCACGCATTTCAAACCACTTGGGCAAATTCATATCCATTCACAATGGTACCTTAAATTCTCCCATGAGACTGTCAGCCCTCAGGGAGTAGGAATTATAAACCTGCAGCAGGGAAAAAAAAAAAGGAAGTCGACAACTCAGAAGGACTCAACTTTCACAGTAGACAGAGACGCTCATTTCGGTTTGACTTACCCGAATACTGATGTTCTGTTCAAAAAGGTCTGACGGAAGCATGTGGACATTGTAGAAAAACATCTGTTCAAAAGCAAAATGCGTTAAAAATGGTTGAAACCGCTCCATGTGAATAAGAGGAAAAAATAATTTGGAGTACCTCGTCAAAGAAGGGGTTGTTTCCCCGCTTAATCCTTGTCCTGTGGGTCTGTCCGCACGCCTGGACCTTGACCACCGGCTTGATGTTGTTGCCTGGCAACTGACGGGCCTCGATGATGCGGACGCGGATCTGATCGAGAGACGACATCGGAAACTGAGTGGACTTAAAGTCCCAAAAAGAACGTGTGAAGCTGTGTATCGAGATCCTTTTAGCAATTTTAAGATTTGAGCTACTTCTTTTCTGCCTTCAACCGTTCTACTTGTAAATGCTTCCCGATGTGTTTTTGGCTGCGTGAAGCAAATTGGCGAAAATTGCCTTGCCAAAAGTTAAAAAGCTTCAATCGGTTCATTTTTTTTCCCGAGACTCAATTTGCAGTCCCTGGAGTTACCTGGAAGTCCTGAGGTTTGTTGACAAGCCGGTGTCGATTCTGCGACCTTGCTATCCGCCTGCGGAGGCTAACAGACTGACCGGGAGCGGAGGGGCCGGTCGCAGAACCGCTCGGGGCCCCGTCGGGTGCCGTCTCGTCACCTTGCTCTCCACTGCCTGAAATGGTGGGACATGTGAAGGCGACGTAGAGTTTGGTGTTGTCATAAAATGAAGTACTGGAGTTGAACATACCGGAATCCACAGGGGAATCACCATCGTGGGATTCGTCTGCATTTGGGTTGGCATTGGGTGGAGGATCATACCCAATGACGAGGTTCATAGTCGCCTGCAAGGAAACCATCATGTATTTTTTACGTGCAACAAATGTGGGCCAAAAATCGCAAAATGTACTTACGCCGATATTGTGGCTGTTCTCGTCAAGCAAATGCACATTTTTGGCCGGGAGTGATCTCAGTTGGCCAGAGGCAAGTTCTCTCAAAGGAATTCTTGTTGACCCGATGAATCTGCCAAAAAAAAAAAAAAAAAAACACACACACACAGCCTAACGCTCATCAATAGAACCTTATCTTGTGTTTTCCGTGACACCCCGGCACTGATTTCCCCTTGTCAAGTCAACTCGAGCTGGCTGCCAACCAGGCAAGCCAACATATTAGTCAAATGTATGGGCCCCGTGGTCATTAAGTGCCGCATGTGTGCTCAGAGACGTCATTCACGAAAAAAAAAAAGGGGCACAATTAAGGTCACCACCTAGAGCTAACAAGCCCTGCCTGCTGAGGCAAACAATTGCAGAAACAGAAGCCGAGCAGTCACAAAGCAGCGGGTAAACAGATTTTACGACATTTAATTGAGAATTTCAACATCCCCAAGCGGAGCTTACCACTAGTTGAGCAACCATTTTTGAGCGCCTCGACTTGACTGCCAATGCTACATGTGTCAGCTAACATAAGATACAAAATTCCCAAAAGGGCTTCGCACTTGATCCAATTCTTCCATTTACCCCGCCGAGGGTTGGTGCACTCCTGTAAAATGACCTTTCGGCTGATTAAATAACTGCAGGTAAAGCATCATACAAGCCTCTAATCAACACAAACGCATCAACAATCTCGCTTTCTCTGCGAGGGACGGTGACAGCTGCGCACATTCACGCTGTGGCCAAAAAAACGGCTGGACGAGAGACTTTTATTGGGAGGAAAGAGCGTCGGGGGTTTTGGCAGGACTTTGCGTCCCTCATCAAGAAGGACGCTGATTTGTGTCAGTGACTCCACAGGCCTGGTATGTTTGCTCAGATGCACGAGTGTCCGACAATATTTATTGAGTACTCTAATGGGATCTTACTCAGCATGGGTGGGGGGCTTCACTGCAGGTTTAAGTGACATTTCTCAGCGAAATAAATTACACAGGCAAAAGAATGATTTTACTGTGTTCCTCAAGATTCATCTTCTCTTCCTCGGTTGCTTTCTGACCAAAACGGATGATGTCACAAAGTAGGACTGTTTCGCTAATAGCCGACAAGTGATGACACCGATCTGATGATCTTCAGTGCTGGGTTGAACCATCGCTGAATTGTTGTCTGAGCAAAGCATACACTCAAATGTGACTGACCGCACTTAACTTATTGAGCTACATTTGGTTCATGAGGTCCCGATTGATTCGTGGAAGGCTCGAGGGGCTAATCAATGATGAGTGAAGAGGACATGAAGGAATAAAAGTCCAAAAGTCCCTCTCGCTTTCACACAATCATTAAAAAGAACTCACTGAAGTGAGGAGCCTGTATAACAAATAAAGTTCCTGTCAAATATGGATGGTGGAAGTGTTAGCATCAAATTCATTTAGCCATTCATCAGCCATTTTTTTTTTTTAATTTTATTTTTTTTATTGGTGTTAACACTGACCGTAAGTTAAGGTCGTCACTAAAGGAATCTGCGAATCAGATGATGCGATCACGACAGTGTTGCTTCTAATTTGGAAAATTGAATCAGTCCAGAGGGCACGATGGGCGGGTTTCCTCCCCTTTCGCGTTGCCATAACAACATAGGCTCAGTGCAAAAAACAGGGGCTGGAAAACTACTCAAGAGAGGGAGGGGGGGAAAGGCCCCGTGCTATGACTGCTTGCATCTTCGGGGAGTGTGTCAGACAAGCCAGCGGAAAACTTTGCTCAACGTGGACTCATACGCTGGAGACATTTGGAAAAGCGCCCCCTCCCCCACTTCGCACCGTCACATGTATGGGGGTGACTAAGCTTAGTATAGGACATGCAAAGAAACATACAAGAGAAAAATAATAAATTAAAAAAAAACAACAACAATCTGTTCCTAAGCTTAAGAGTTGCACAGCAGTAATTAGTACGCCAGAGGAAACATTCTTTGTGGCTGCTCTCAATTAGTCCCATATGTGATTCTGCACTTTCAACCAAAGCTGTTTTGGAGCAACTACACGCTTCTTCTTGCACACTCTTAAACATGAACATGTCATGTAGTCCAGACATGATGGAACTCGAATGCTGCAGAGAATTTGCCCCATTCTCTCTGCCTGAGAAGACAAGCAGCGATTGACTTGTCTATCGTTGCCCAATCAGGATCAAACGTCCCACACGGCTCGGCAAGTCTCGGCATGGCGTGAGGGGCGTGAGGGGGCAGAGGCAGCCAACAAAGCATTTTTTTTCCGACTGATCACAGGAACCACATTAATCTATACAATCTATTTCGTCAGTTGCCCAACAATAGACTTTTTGGGAGCCACATCTCTGGGGAGAGTGTTGGGGGAGATACGCCACTTACTTATCTTTCCCAAAGGTCTCAGAGTCTTTCACAATCACATCAATGTGGGAGTTGGGTTCTAGCGCAGCTCCATTTAGGTTAAACTCAAGGACCTGCGAGGCAAGACGAAGCAAGCGTCAGCTATAGTAACAAAAGACTGCAGCAAGTCTCTTTGCATAAAATGTAACCAGAAAATGGTATTGAAGGAAAACTGGAACATTCAAAATGTAAATATAATGTGTCATACTCTTTATGGACGGCGATTTTAAAATCTACAGCTGTGTGCAAATTGCTACCAATGTGTTCTGCTCGTCCAATTTGGCTTGCTGAGTTCCAACCAATCAGAAGAGGCAAAAATGCTGATGTTACGTTGGACTGGCGAGTGAACGTGAGGCAATTTTGAAATCTGATTGGTTCAAGAAACTGTCCCATTGCAAATAGTTTCAAAATTTGAATGACATGGCAACAGATAGAAACTGAAATGCTGTGGGTTGTTGTTGGACGTAAACATTTACCTCGTTCCATACCGGATTCACCTCACTATCAATAGCATTTGTTTTTTTCTTTTCATCTGAAAAGGAGAAAAAAAATACATTTGATGACAATCACAAGTTATGACAGCAAGAATTTCATGCCATTATAAGACAAAATGCAGCAGTCGTGCCTTCAGAAGTGTTCTTTTTAGTCATTATTTCTGATACGAGAAGTGAGCTGCAGTTGTTCCCTTATAAGGGGAAGCAAAAAGAAGAGGAAGGGAAGAAACCACACCTGCAGGCTATAGGTGCCCGCGAAGCTGACACACTTGGAAGGATTGAATCCATTTTGCCTCTGGTCTGTTAGTTTTAATATGAGAGTGGTGACCCAACTTGACAGCCATTTATAAACCCCGTTTCATTCCAACGTTGCATTCTTTTTCCTGTCTGACATCCCACTAGCAATGTTTGGGCACGTTGAGACAATTTGCTCGGGTTTGTCCTCAAATAACATGAGTGACTTTGGGAAACGTTTATTTAATTGAAGCACAGGATAAAAAGAAATAAGCACATATATCACAGCACAAATGCCGTTGAATATAGAAGTATTAAATGTTTTCAAATCCTGTACTTCTGTCTGGATATAATAACTTCTAGCAACAACAACAAAAAAGAAAAAGCCTTACCTCTAAACACCACTGTCGCGATTGGATCAGGACTTCCAACTTTCTTTTTTGGCAGACCTGTAGCAGATTCTACCAAAATCCGCAACATGATGATCCAGTTCAAGAAAACAAAAGAAGAGGAAAAAAAAGAAACAAACGTTAGTTAGTGAGTGAAATGGTCAATCCCTGGAGAAATAATCAACCCTGGCATCTTCACAGACGCGTCCGGGACGCAAACAAAAGTTTATTTCCAAGTGCAGCGCTGGGAAGTGGGCGGGCCATGGGAATGTAATTATCCTGAGTGGAGACAGACAGTGGGCAGCTGCTGCCATCCTGCGAGCAACCGACACAACACCGAATTTCAACTAGCAAATACATAAGCGGGATGTTTTAAGTTAACTATTACATTTGTAAAAATGACTTTGGGCACCGCTAAACAAAAATTAACTTCAAACTTCCACTTGACTTCCCTCCACAAATTTAAGCAAATATATTTTACTTTGTCTCCATCTAGTGGCCGTACGGTTCCATCGACCCATGAGTACCGTACCAGGGAGCACGACATTTTTGTGCGTGGTTAAAAAAAGTCTGTCCATAAGTTGGTTTAAAAAATAGGTAAAATACCATCCATTGTCGTTTTGACACCGAGTTATTCACGCCAATCGCCGCCTCTTGATGTCACTCCAGGGTGACGAATTATATGCACCTGGTTCGAGTTGCGTGGTCACGTGACTGCTCTCGTGCCTATTATTTGCGTTTGCAATGTTCATCAAGAACACACAAACACTCCTGTTAGAATAAATAAATATGTAACATGTAGTAATCCTCATCATCTTATTTATGAAGGACTAAGACAAATGCGTGATTTCTTCTTTTAACCCACCCCCGGCGTACTTCAGTGTGCTTTCAAATATTACACATCAATGTTAAATGACGTGAGAAGACCAGCTTGTGTAGGCTGAGTGTAGGTCGTCTATTTCCTGATATGCCTGTGAGAAATATCTCGTGTTCCTTTCCAGGGAAGGGTTATTTTAAGAGAAACAAATGGTATACTGTAGATACAGTAATGTAAAGTATGTTCGTTAAATTGAGCGTGTAATACTTTATTTTTCCACTTGAGGGTGCCAAATGTGTTCTCTAAACCCGAATCCAGTTTCAATTCACACTGCCACTTTCGAACTACTTGTGGTGTGTACTTCATCATTTCACTTCACTTCAACTCCTCTTTTGGAATGCTCTTTTCAAACCCACATAAATAACTTCACCCGGTTCACTTAGTTGCATTGACCAAACATTAATCACTTTGGCCCATCCCTAACTTCGCACACGGCTGCCAAACTAATCTGCAGCATCGTCGACTCCCATCTCGACTGCTGCAATTCTCTTCTGTTTGGTCTCCCCCATCAGTCACTCCACAAATTACAGCTTCTCCAGAACCCTTCCGGCAGTATTATCACCAGAGCCTCCACCATCACTCCCGTCCTGCGGCCTCGCTGCTGGCTCACCATCTGGTACCGCATCCAATCTGAAATACTCATCCTAACTTTTAAGGCCATCCATAACCTTGCGCGGCCATATCTTTCTAACTGCCACTCCCTACTGCCTACCTGTTGTCAATATTAAATGCAATTTTCTGCAATCTGGGGGAGGTACAAGCAGCATACCGTGGATATAAAAAGTGTACACACCTTTGTTCGAATGCCATTTTGTTATACGAGACAAAATGTGACCATTGCATAACTTTTTCCACCATTGAACTCAACTGTGTTGTTTGTACAATAACATGGAAATCTTGAAATCCTCTGATCAGGTTGCGGTCAGAGGGGCCTCTGTCAAAGCGCTCTGCCACATCAGGTGATCCCGACCTTACTTTACGTGCCAACTCTTCCAAATCAATCAAAGGTACAATTGCAAGTACTGTAGATTGTGCAAGGAAACCAAGTGGGTTCCATCTATGCTGTTGTTGCCTCCGCTCTAACAGACTGCAGTGTTCTGAAACGATCCCATATTTTATATCTGGCAAATGTGGGCAGCGCAAATGCTGGTCAGCACAAGTAAAAACTTTCACATTCTTACTTTACTTTGACTTTCTTTGCATTGACTTGCTATTTATGGCGCTGAAACAAAAGCAACAATGCCACGGTGCAGCCGTGGGTCACGCGAGGTTGCGACCGAAATATCCTGGTCTATAGTACTGACTGAATCACTTCTTCTAAAAAACAAAACAAAACAAAACAAAACACAATGGTGAAACTGATTTAGATTTTACAAAAGGCATTTCGGAGCACTGTTTGTTTTTTGTTTTTGTTTTTTGGGGGGGGGGGTTGCAGCCTCAGATCAGTAAAACTTTCTGGTCTGCGAACTCAGGCGACACCACAGGTTAGCTTCAGATTGGGAACACCTTCCAAAATGGATTGGAAATGAGGAAAAAGGAGAGAAGATATAATCAACTTTATCCTCAAAAGGTGAATCAAGGCAACTAGACTCCCCTTGGCACCTTTAATCCCAAATCTTCAGTGGTAAATCTCTGCGCGAAAGTACTCCACAACCCAGAGCAGCCCAATTGCTTTAAATGCACATTTTACAACAGTATTGACTGCCAGTGTTTCATTGCTGGAGGCGAGGCCGGTAAATGCGGACATCCTCGAAGGTGGCCGACAAACACTTTGTCCTCACGGACTCCACAGATGGCTCAGTGGGACTGTGGTCAACGGAGGGCGATCATGCGGGTTTTTCTCTGGACTGGGCTCGATGTGGAACATCACAGAGCCAACAACATACCAGAGGTGAACCTCATAGGTTTCTCTACATTGGCTCGATCTCAAGTCGGGGCCAGATGTCTCAGAGCATACTCAGAATTGTTGTGGTTGCTTCATCCATGGCGAAACGACCCGTATGTATGAATCGTCGAGACATCAGCGGGGGGAAACAAAACTGACGGTTGTGTTTTTGTTAGGCCCACTGAGAGTTAACAGAGTGACCCACCGGCGATATCCAAGATGGTGCACGGTCATCATCGTCGTAAACAAAGTCATAAATGCTAAAAAAGACTGAAAAGAAAACAGATGTTAGGGATATCAAATTATATCGTCCACATTCTGAGGACAAAAGGGGCAGACTTTCTCCGGATCTAAAAAAAAATAAAAATAAAGGAGACATGAAGAAATATGTTCAAGCAATGGGAACCTTTTCCAGGAACTGGCATATAAAATGTCGGTTATTTATGATTTGTATCTTGGTCTCGTTTTTCTTAGCTCACCAAAAACTGGCATGTGAACAGGGGGTGTGTAGACTTTTTAGACCCACCTTAGGTCCCTTACCTCAGCTGATATGGGTTTGAGAAAAAAAAAAAAAGTGGATTCAAGTTGCACATTCTTGAGCATTCGGCCAGGACTTTTCATCCTTAGAATACACTCGCGACGAAGTTGAAGACTGACTAAAGTTCATAAACTCTGGTTTGGCTCCGTCATGTCACATTTTTGGGACACATGTCGGATATAAAAGGGACCGCGAATAAGTAAGCGGTAGTTGAAGAGAAAATGAGAAAGAGCAAAAATGTGTGGTTGCATAGTCAGAGACATTCATGGGCCCGAAACAGAGAAGCTTCTGTGGGTTCATTTCAGGCTACTTTGAAAAATATTTTTTCAGAAAGCCGATCAAACCCCCCCCCCCCCCCTATAAAAAACATCCTTGCTCATAAAAACTGTGTAGTATGCAAATAGAATGAAAAACTCACATAGGAGGCCAGCCGACGCCGCCCTGCAAAATAGGGATCGGTGTCAAGGAAGTATCATTGAAGTGATTCATTTCAAACTTGATGACAGCGAGGCCGAAACGGAAATGAGGAGCTCCACTCCGTGTGACCGGACTTCTCAGGAGCAATCCTGTCCCATGGGTCACTGTAACAACAGATGTTTTGCACAGACAAACAAAAAGGTCTCAAGCTCAACTTTCCCCTTTGATCACCTTTTTTGAGCAGGAGGAATCCTGCAGTGTGCTGAGTCAAGAACATCTGGAAGTGCAGATGTTTTAAATGGCACTCATAAAGGGCGCGTGCACTTGTGATTGCAAACAATTTGTTTTCCCGTCATGGAAACGCGTTGTGTAGAGAATAACAGATGGGTGCTCCCCAATCACACACACCCTTGCAGAGACACGCAAGGTTTGAGGAGTTTGAGATTTTTCATGATTTCTTTTTTTTAATGGTCGTTTGACTCTTATTTTAGTTAGTTCATAGAGGGGATTTGCGAGTTTTAATTTGTATGTATATATTTATTTTTTACCCAAATTGGATATTAGTTTTATTTTTATTTTATTTTTATGGTAAAGCACCGAGGGTATTTGTCTGCAAAGAAATTAAAAACGTTACAGTGTTTCATAATTAAAAACAACAACAACAAAAAACAAATTCTTTGCAAAAACAGATATGAGATATTTCTGTTTTAATTCGTTTAAATTATTTAACTTATTTTCTCCATCAAGAACAACTTTTACAACATGGTGCATTTTGCAAAACCCTGCAACAACACCCCCACCCCCCAAAAAAACACAGCAAATTTGATTTTAATTTTTCTCTGTATGCACTCCTGCCATGTGCGCGGGTTTCAGCTTCTGCACATCCACCAGTGGTGAGCACAAGCGACTATAAAAGGCTCTATCAAGTGTGCAGGAATGCGCCAAGCTAGTGGGCCGCTCTTGTGGGCGAGCGCTGTGGCTGCAGACTTCCACTGTTTGGCGGAGGTTGCCCACAAGGAAAGGCAGGAAGAGGAACGAGTTATATTTTAGGTGCATTTGAT